TTATCAATTGTGCTCAGCCGTACATGTTCATATCCTTGAAGATGTATTATGGAACTGTTGCAGCCTAGAAGACACAGATTTAACCAACAAGTTAAAAGGACATGAGTAAAAAATTAGAGCGTGAAACTTTGTCTCATACTCTGGGTACGTCATCAGGAGGGGACAGTCCTTGGAAAAAGATATTCCAGGAAAGGTGGATGGTGAGAGGAAGACTTTCAACGAGATGGACTGACAGTGGACACGAGCATGGCAGAAATGGTGGCGATGAGACTGGAGAGGGCACAGGTCAGACCTGTTGTTCACAAGGAAAGGTAGATGGTCAGAGAAAGAGAGGAAGACCTCCAACAAGATGGACTGACACAGTGACCGTACCAATGGACACGAGCATGGCAGAGATGGTGGCGATGGGACAGTGGAACAGGAGAGGGCACAGGTCAGACCTGTTGTTCACAGGGTCACGGTGAGTCAGTGTTGACTCGACAGCACTTAATAACAACATTCAGAGAGCACTCCGTACACATTAATCCAATACAGTAATACAAGAAAGCCACATTGAACAGTAGGTGAATTCATTCTTTATGTTATTTCTATACTCACTTTTCCATTTGCCTCCAAGGAGCACACTGGTTGTGCTTTTTTTTTTTTTTAAATTTATTTTAGTGTGTGTGTGTGTGTGTGTGTGTACGCGCACACGCCCTCAAATCAGATCTGACTGGTACAGGAGGAGATTCCCCCATCTTCTCCAACAGAGCCTCTGGTGGATTTTAACGATTGTACTTCTTCCAAGATAAGACTTATTGGTTCTTTTGGCAGTCCATGGGGTACTCAGTGCTTTTCTCTACCAACATAATTTAAAGGTGTTGATTCTTCTTCTGTCATCCTTTCTCATTGTGCAACTTTCAAATTGATTGGCAATAAATGAAAATACCATGCATGGCTTGCATCCGGTGCACCTTAGTCCTTGAGGTGACATCATTGCTGTTCAGGTCCTTGACTGCACATTTTCCCAGTGCAGCCTTTTTTTTTTCTTTCTGCC